GAACCACCGTTATGTTTTTCAAATTCGAAAGTTAAGTGGTTCAGAAGTTTAATACGGGGTGCCCACTGCGGCTGGATCGGGCCGATCGTCCGACTAGGTCGCTTGAAACTGAAAACAAACACGTTCGTTTTTTAGGCGACCGAGTCGGGCGATCCTATCAGAAGTGGGCACCCCGTATTACGCTACCAAAGTGACAAACTTCTCAAATATAATATATAGATAAAAGAAAGCAGAGTATCACGTACAGCTGCTGAAAAGGTCTTCCGCCCCTCCTTGGCAGCCTTCTTGCTCACAGTGCAGCCTCCAGAGACCCACGCGCACGTCTGTGTTCTCCATCCAGCCAGGGCAAGCTATACTGATGACGTGGAACACAAGGCCAATAAATAGGCCTATGGGGCTCCAGCCCCACACCACCGTCTTGTCAGACGCGTCGAACATTGCTTTCTGTCTTCTCTGAAAAGTAAGAAGGGTTTTTTGTTGATGTTGTTGTTCTTTTAAGAATGAGTAATTGAATTCATTGCGGATTGAAGGAACGTATAAGTAGCTTTAATAAAGAGTTCTGCGGTACTTGCAGCACGATTATTGTTCATATAGCTGCTGAAGATTCCAGTAGTTGTTGTTGAGTAAAGAGATGTGCTTCTACAGACCAATGGTTATTTGGAGCTGGGAAAAAGTAGCACAGACAGACTGAAACAACCAGGGGCGAAGGCTGACTTGTTTGACAGGGTAATCAAAGTGAGACAGGACCAGGTAGGCCTTGGAGATATCACACAAGAATCTTACTCGAGACGGCAACACTGAGCTGTGAAGAATGAAACCAAATCCTGAATTCATGTTGTATGCATGTTCAACCGCTAAAATAATCGGGAAAGTATCTAATTAAATTTGTATTCTAATTAACATTACATTTAACTTTAGATGTGAATACACAAACACAAAGGAAAGAAGCAGAGATGTCAGTACTACATGTTATATCGGTGAGTCTAAACTCTTTGTTAGAACATGACAATTATCTATTTTTTAAATTTCACATTTGGCTGTTTTTGTCTAGCTCTTCGAGGCCAGGAGCCGGTGTCATAATCGAGGTCACGATCTGATTATAGGACGGTAAAAAGTCGAGGAAAAAAACAGGTACTCACAGCAATCAAGATATTATTAGGAGTTAGTTCACGTCATATTTGTCAGGTAGACTCGACTAGTGTATTAGTTCACTGACATAATCAGTGGTTGTAACTGCTTATAACTGTGGCCCGAAAGGAAAGAACAGGGTATATGTGGCAATGAAACAGTTTTGAGTGCTGTGCATGTTCCCTCCAACTCTTCTGGTAGACTCTTCCAGCCTCACTTTAAGCTTTTTTAATCAAAGCTTGTGAAGGCTTATTTAGTGTCTCGAGAGGTGTGAAAAGGCTATTTCTGTGGCAATGAAACAGTTTTGAATGTTAGGCAGACTGTTCAATGGTGATTATGAACGTCTTTTTACATTTGTTTTATGATGTGAATTTAACTGCGACAATGTTTCAAAATTAGGAAGGGAAGCAGTGATTATTTGACCCCCGCCTCCTTCATTCGCAAATATATCGACGTGTACTCAAGGTAAATTGAGAGGAAGGTGGTGCTGAGAGTGGGCGATGGATGTCAGACCCAGTAGTGATTGCCTCAGGACTGCCACAAGGATCAGCATTATCACCGGTTCTGTTCAACATATATACATCCAAAATTGACAGGATCTTGGTAAGTGGAGCAGGAAGAATCTTCACCTTTGCAGATCATGTGATGGTCTACGGACAAGGTCGCGATAGGCTTGCGGTTGGACGGATGCTACAGGATAGGCTGAACAAGGTCGCAGATTTGTGTGAGGAATACAAAGCAGTCTTCAATCCAGGCAAAGCACAGGTCATCTGGTGCACACTCAACAATCGTATTGTGAAAGATCCTACGCCTCCAATTGTGTTTGACCACTTTCTCAAAGACAGACAGCATGAGCTGAAGTACCTGGGAATCACTCTGGACAGGACACTTTCGTTCCGAGGACATATTGACAATGTTGCTGTCAGGGCTCAGAAGGGCATCAATGTAGTGAAGAGGCACCTTTTGCATGGCAACCTGGGCAGCATCAAAGGAAACAGGATCAAACGGGGCAGCTCATGGATGGCAGGAGACGAAGACTCCTTGAGGAAAGTTTGTGGCATCGATGAAATATGCTGTGGAAAGGAGTGGTTTGAACTGATCCCCGATTGCAGAAGCCTGGCCAACGTTCACATCACTATGGGTCGTGAAAGACGGGAATGTGCTGCTGTCATTAACGACAATGATATACGACAGTTAATTGAGGAGCATTCCAAGCCAGAGGACCCAGTGATCTAAACGGATGAATCAGTCAGGAGGGGTGAGAGAAGTGGATGGGATTTTGTGTTGTACAGTGGGAACAAAATGGTCCATGGCATGTCAGGGGCCATAGAAAGAACAACTTCAAGCATGAAAATGGAGATTGAGGCCGTAACAAGAGCGCTTGGATGGCTTCACAATACAAGACCAAGAACAACTCATCTCTTCATTGTCACGGACTCCCAGAGCATCTTGCGAAGGGTTGAGAAAGGGCTTCTTCGGAGTAAATGGATGAACCCCATACAACACTCATCACTCAGAGCCATCACGTGGATATTCTGTCCTGGGCACTCTGGAGTGAAAGGCAATGAGGAGGCTGATAGGCTGGCAGGCAGTGCCGTGGTTGATGGTGAGGTGAAATTTGACAAAGGAGAAGTGTTGAAAACCCTGGAGAAAAAAGTTGCGGGATGAAGAAGACAAGGAGACAGCAGAACACCACACAATCACTAGGATGTGGGAAATTAGGATAGAGAGGGGAGAAGGAAAAAAGGAACGATTATCTGGAAAGGAAAGACGTCGCCATAATCAGAACAATCAGTATGGATACCTTGCAGGCTTTGGTGCTTTGGGGGGGGGGGGGGACTGAGCACTTATGGACCTGTCCGGTGTGCAATGACGTTGTTGCCCAGGACAGGTAATACCGGTAATACAAGGTAAATTGATATTTTTTTTAATCCACGTAATGACAAGTGAACAAGCTTTAATATGATACCAATAAATCTACATGCCCAAAAATTGACGAGAGCCTGATTCCACCACGCTGCCTCTCTCTCTCTCTCTCTCTCACACACACACACACACACACACACACACACACATATATATATATATATATATATATATATATATATATATATATATATATATATATATATATATATATATATATATACGCTTCGCCACTGGAAACAACAGAGCGAAGGTAAAGAAGTAGGATCTACCATTAGATTAGATTTATTGGTAAGTTAATACCGAGTGTATAAATAAGAGGACCCATTTAAAGGGCAATAGCTCAGTTATCATTGGACCACTTTCAACAAAACTTCGCAGAAATAAAACACAGCTATGAGTACGTTTGATTTGTGAATATATAAGAAATCAATTCAAATTTTCCTGAAATATCAATTTTTAACAATTTCAACCATAATTGAGTGAAACACAAAACCTCTTTAAAATCAATCAAATTGTTCCATTTCAAATAGTCACTATGTGTGAGGTGAAAAATAAATTGTTATATAATTGATATTGCCAAATATACTCAGAGCGTGATAGCTATTGAAATCTCCAACAAATGTTGACCATTTCTCTCATTACAAACTCCAATATGCCTCCGGAAATTTCGAATAACCTCCTGGCATGTTTCTGGGTCGATTCTTTGAACGCCATATTCAACATTGAGTTCTAACTCTTCGGTTGTATGTGGGTTGTTTTCGTAGACTCTATCCTTCAAACAATAAATCAATAAATAAATAATTGAAATGGCTCAAGTTAAGGGAAATGTGGTGACCATTCATTTGTAAACTTTCGGCTTATAAGGCGTTCTCTAAACCTTTCTTACAACAGCACAAGAGCCACTCTTGACGGGTGGGATGTGGCCCTACCCCACTTGAACCAGGCTTCTACAGTTTAACGCCCCCTCCCCAAATTTCTACACAACCTTTCTAAGCACAATGAAATATCCAACTGATGTGACTGTCGTGGTTTTACCGTATTCATTTTCTTGAAACCAGAAGAAGTCGATCAATGAAACTAAGACAAATATGAACACTTGATAGCTTCAAAAGACATCTTAAACATTTTCTGTTCCTACAGGCCTATCCTTCATAAGCTTTTAACGTTATCTTTCATTATATTTGTTCTGTTCCTATGTCTGGATGAAAATAGTGTGTGTGTGTGTGTGTGTGTGTGTGTGTGTGTGTGTGTGTGTGTGTGTGTGTGTGTGTGTGTGTGTGTGTGTGTGTGTGTGTGTGTGTGTGTGCATTAAAGTATATTGCTTGAGAAGAAAGGAAGTAGTAAGAAAGGTTTTTGAAAAAATAGGTATTCCAATGTAAAGCGCATTGAGCTACTTTTCTGGAAATGCGCTATATAAATGTTATATATTATTTTTTATTTTTTAAAATTAAAACTTTGCGTTTTACCCAATTTTGATTGAAATTTAAAAACTTTAATATTTCTCGAAAGTGTTGATTGATTTTCTTGATATTTACCAACTTGATGTCCTGATGGTTGAAGTTTATTTGCTCGAAGTTTTGTTAGAGTTAGTGAGAAGGTGAACAAGTTATTGCCCTTTAAGTGAGTCCTCTTTTTTTTAGACACTCTGTTCAAGGACAAGATAGAGGAGAGATAACGACGATAGATGTTGGATAGGAATATATAGCAAACCACACCAGAGCACCCGTCAACCAACTACGAATGACGTAAAGGATATGAAAGTGAGAAAGAATGAAAGGCGGAAGAAAATAAGGAAAAAAGAAGGAAACTTAGATTTGTAGGACGGATGAAGATATCGGGGTATGGGGAACCAATTTATTGGATAATGAACTGGATGATTAAATCAACCCATTTTTTAAAAGATGGGGTTGGCTTAATAAAGCCTAAAGCATTTTGGAAAAGAAAGATTGGATGATCAAGAGAGAAATAAACAGAGAATGAAATAGATTTTGAGTAAACATATTATTATAGACATATGCACTTATTATAATCAAAAGCAAGGACCGATTTTTAAAAATAGGAAGGCAAAACTTTTTTCTTTTTATGTTGATGTATCCACGTCCACGTCAAGACATCGTATATCATTAGGGGACGTTCAAAAAGTGTGTATGCAATATTTTGCTTGAAAGCTGATTTACTCTATTATTTTTTATAGTGAATGTAGAACAGCAAAGATCTATAGTATTATGTGCATGTATGTGTGTATGCTTGTTTTTCATGGATATTATGTAAAGCGCATTGAACAATTATTGTAACACGGACTTGCGCGATATAATTGTCATTCATGTATTATTATTATTATAAGTGAACAATGTAATATTACAGGATTTGAGGGGGGGAGGGAGAGGCAAATAAAAGAAAAGTGTAAGAAGGGGGGAGGGGGGCAAAGAGTCCCAGAAAAGGTGAAAGATTGTATTTGAACAGCCCCTTAAGGAAGCAGACTTCGAACCAGCCTGTCCAGGGGCCAAAACCGTGGCTGAGAAGGATAACCATCCTAGATCTCGCAGACAGACCGAGATAGTCTATTATGTACTACTATGTACTCGATAAAAAAATTATCCCCTCTCTAGAACTGAACATCGAGTCTTCTGCGTGTGACGGTGAAGCGTCTAAACGCTACGCCTCAGACTCCGAAAAGGAAAGATTGAAAGAATGAATGATGAAACGAACGCCTGAAGAAAGAATGAAGCCGGATGTCGATAGGATTACAAATAGCCGCGCTAGCACTGGCAAATAATCTGGGTTAAAATGATAAAAATTTTCGTTCTGCTTTTAGCCTATTCATTCAAGATTGTTTTCCATTTCACAGCACAGCCAAGAGTTTAGAGTCATAATAATGGTCTGATTTATGTCAAGCAGGGCGTTATATTCAGAAAAAGACAAACAAACAAACACACACACACACACACACTCACACAC